CTCCTTACCTCCCTCCCTTCCTTTCTCCTCTCTTCTTCCTTCCTTCCCCTGTCCATCTCTCCTTCTTTCCTTCCTTCCTTCCATCCATCCTTCTTCCTTCCTTCCTTTCCTTCCTCCCTTCCTGTTCTCCATCTTCTCCTTTTCTTTCCTTCCTTCATTCCTCCTTACCTCCCTCCCTTTCTTTCTCCTCTCTTCTTCTTCCTCTGTCCATGTCTCCTTCCTTCCTTCCTTGCATCCGTCCTTCTTCCTTCCTTTCCTTCCTTCCTCCCTTCCTGTTCTCCATCTTTCCTTCCTTCCTTCCTTCCTTCCTTTCTTCCTTCCTTCCTTCCTTCCTTCCTTCCTTCCTTCCTTCCTTCCTTCCCCCCTTCCTCCCTTCCTGAGAGTAGCCAGTCCAGGTAGCAACAGGAAGAAAAGCTTATTCTAAGGTAGACTGCTGCTGGCCATAGAGGCACCATTTAAAAAAAACCCCCACAAAATCCTTCCAAGGCCTGAATCCATAAACAGCCGGAGTGCTTCCCCCGCAAACCCTGTTTTCCTTCCCAGGCCCACGCGCTGGAGGCCGACATGGAGCTGGAGTTCCTGGAGACGGCCTGTGCTTGTAAGGCAGTCATCTGTTGCCGCGTGACGCCCTTGCAGAAGGCCCAAGTGGTGGAGCTGGTCAAGAAGTACAAGAAGGCCGTGACGCTGGCCATCGGGGACGGGGCGAACGACGTCAGCATGATCAAAAGTGAGACTTCCAGGCGCAAAGCCTGGGAGAAAAATGGCCGCTCGGACCAGGAGGGGTGGATTCTGGGAAATGAAGTCCCTGCGTTGCGAGGGGGCGGGGCTATCTCAGACTTCTCCGCTGCCGATTCATCAAACATTCCTAGGCCTGTTTTCAGTAGTTGCCATAAAAAGGAGAGGAAAGCGGAAGTAACATTCCAGCTCTTCTCTTTAAAAGGTTGTAACTAAACTACCAGCGCTTTTGCCCGCGAATATATTTAATTGGAGAATCTGATTGATGACACACCCAGGGGATTATGGGGAACCAGAGTCACAGGGGACTGTCAATGACGTAGGCCAGAGTTGGCTTCATCCAGGGCGGCAGTGCCAGGATGTCGCCTCTAAATGAATCCGTGGAAGTTTTTTGAAGTTTGGCTCGAGGATCCTGATTCAATTAGGGCGATTGCTGGAATCCTGACCTCTGCCTTATCTGCAAATGCGAGGGGAATTCTGGGTATCGAAGTCCTCCGGGTGGGAGAGGCCGTTCCCAGAATTCTCAGACTTTCCCATGAGGACTGGGGAATTCTGGGAAAGTTGGGAGAGACTATCTTGTCTTGTCCACGAGGACTGGGGGATTCTGGGAATTTGGGAGTCCCCGGGTCAGAAGAGGGTATCCCAGAATGCTCAATCTTGTCCACGAGACCCAGGGGGATGTTGGGAATCAAAGTCCTCAGGTGGGGAGGGACTGTCCCAGAATTCTCAGCCTTGTCCACCATGGGGACTGGGGGAATTCTGGGGAATAAAAGTCCCCCAGATTGGGAGGGGCCTAAAATCCTCAGCTTGTCCACAAGGACTGGGGAATTCTGGGAAACAGAAGTCCTCCAATCAGGAGACAGCTTGCCAGAGTTTTCAGTCTTGTCCACAAAGATTGGAGGATTCTGGGAATTTAAGTCCTCAGGTGGGGAGGGGCCACCCCCGAAGGCTCAGCCTCGTGCATAACAAGGACTGAGGAATCCTGGGAGTTGAAGTCCCCAGATCGCATCCCCAGAATCCTCAGCCTCGTCCACCAGGACCGTGGGACCCTGGGAACGGTAGTTTCCCGGCGTTGAAGACGATGGTCTTGATTGCTTGTCTTGTCTGCCTTCCCTTCCGGATTCGTGGCAGCCGCCCACATCGGCGTGGGCATCAGTGGCCAGGAGGGCATCCAAGCCGTGCTGGCGTCCGACTACTCCTTCTCCCAGTTCAAATTCCTCCAGCGCCTGCTCCTCGTTCACGGACGCTGGTCGTATCTCCGCATGTGTAAATTCCTCTGTTACTTCTTCTACAAGAACTTTGCCTTCACCATGGTGCATTTCTGGTTCGGCTTCTTCTGTGGCTTCTCAGCCCAGGTAATGGAGACGGGCACCGGGTGTCGGCTGGGGAGGGGGGGGGGGGGGGGCGGGGGGTGGGGGGGGGGCAGCCCAAACAACCCCCACCCTAATTCATCCTTTCTTTCTCTCCACACAAAGACCGTGTACGATCAGTACTTTATCACGCTGTACAACATTGTTTACACCTCATTGCCCGTCCTCGCTATGGGGGTCTTTGATCAGGTCAGTCTGTGCCCTCACCTGGTGGGAGAACGGGGGGGGGGGGGGGAAGAGGAAGGCAGCTGAGGGAGAAAGGAGAAGGAAGGAAGGATAAGGGAGAAAGGAGAAGGAAGGAAAGATAAGAGAGAAAGGAGAAGGAAGGAAAGATAAGAGAGGAAGAAAGGAAGGGAGGAAAAAAAGAAAAGGAGAAGTGAGAAAGGAGAAGGAAGGAGAGAAGGAAGGAAACATAAGAGAAAGGGAAGAGAAAGGAGGAAAGTGGGTTGGAAGGTAGAGACGTAGGAAAGGAGGGAAGGAAGGAAGGCAAAGTAAGAGGTAAAAGG